ATAAAGAAACTGCAATCCCAAAGCCAAACACTCAATTAACTATTCTGACATTGGTGGCTTCTTCAGAAACTTAACTTCCCAGCATTCCTCATGAGCCAGGAAGGTAGACAGGGGTCACCAGTCTTTTCTACCAAAAGGAAAACCCGAGGACAAAAAGAAGGAAAACACACCAGTCTTCAGATGCGGCCTTGCCCATAAGCTCACGGGACCAAGGAGTCGTTGCAGCTCCTGGGCCCAATTCAGTGACAACCGGATCTCAGTACCGCAGGGTGATGAAAAATCAGAAAACCTGGGTTCTCTTCCTGGTGTCCCCATTTACGGGTGGTGTGGACAAGAACAAGAAACAGCCCCAGTGCTCCTCAGGCTCTTCATGTAGAAAATGGGAACTTTTTGGTGAGATTTTGTGAGAAATAGGAAAACAGACAAGTAAAATGTTGACATTCAACAATCCTCAAAATGTGGGCCTGTCACAGGGGCACCCTGTCTGGACTCGTTCCATGGACTCATGCTTCCTGGCAGAACCTGGGTCTTCAAAGCACCCTGTGACTAGGGCCCTCTCGAGAGGTTCTCACTATACTGGTTCTGTGTTATCTCGAGACTTAGAGGTCTGAAAACATGTAGTGATTCTCTTACAGTTCTGTGGGTAAATTCAGGAGTGGCTCAGAGCTAAGGCGACAATGCAGATGTCCAGTTGGGCCACAGGTAGCCCAAGGTTGGACCAGGGGAGGAACAGCTTCCAAGCTCACTCATGTGGCTACTACAGGCCTCAGCTGCTCACTGGCTTCTGGTCAGAGTTCTCCCCAGTATTCAGGAAGCTTCCATTAGCATGAGCAAGAGAGAGTAAGCAAAAAGAGGCTTTTTAAATAACCTTGAAATGGACACCCTGCTATTTTCTTTGTTAAAAATGAGTCACACCTTGGATACCTATGCTCACAGCAGCAATCTTCACAATAGCCAAAAGCAGAAGGAACTCAGGTGTCCATCAGTAGGTAAAATGGCTAAAAAAGTGTTGCGGCATATGATGCAATGGAGTATTATTCAGCTTTAATCAAAAAGGAAGGAATTCTGGCATCTGCTAGAAGATGGACAAATTCCGAAGAAATATACTCAAGTCAATTGAGCCAGTCACAGAAAGACAAATACTGGATAATTCCATTTATATGAGATGCCTTGAGTATCCTAATCCATAGGGACAGAAAGTGATAGTTGCCAAGGTGGTGGGGAAGAGGAAAAGAGCGATGGTTCACTGTACAGAGTTTTAGCTTTACAAGATGAAAAAGTTCTGGAAATTGTTTGTACAATGGGAGAACACGGAGGGGTGCTGACTCCACTGAAAAGCAGTTAGGGTGACTGTTAAGGCGAATGTTCTATGTATTTCAGGATAATTAAAAAGAAATGAAAAAATAAAGCCACAAGATCCAGGTCCTATTTAAAGGGGTTAGATCAAGGGGTGAACCCTGAGAGGTGGGGGACACTAGAGGCTGCCTGGAAGATGCTATCTGTTCAATGTAGGGTAGAGTTCCACCCAGCATGCGCACACAGCAGCTGTGACCCCAGAAACACCTCTTGGGGGGATTCCTAAGTCCTACGAGAGCTTGCTCCAAAGTCACTGTCTGTATACTAATCTGGTAAATACTTCTATTTCCAATCCACGAAGCCCTAATTAAAACTGGATTCCACTGTGGTGTTCTCTGGTCTCTAACACGTCCCGGAGACATGGAAAGGAATAATGACTAGACTTTCATGCTCCGCGTTTCCAATTCCTGACCGAGTTTGCTGTTGGCTGTACAGGACAAGGATAAGGAATGGACTGAATTCTGGATGAAAGGGGGAAGCGAGAAGACCCCTTTTTCATACTTTCACCCAATCAGAAGAAAAGTCTTTCTTGTCCTGGACTGGTTTTCTCCACTCTATCCCAATAAGCTTTATAAAATGCAATTTTCTTTTCCCCTATCAGTTGGAAGCAAAGCTGCATTTTTCAAGGGCTGGAAGCCCAGCAGAAGCAGATAGGACATTTTGACTAAATGAGCTCACGTACAGAAGTTGCTTTGCACAGTATCCAGGACACAGTAAGGCTCAAAAAATATTCACTCCCATGAAAATGACAAAAGACAGCAGGTCAAACCTGACGTGGCTGAAGATATTTTGTCTATTCCAGATGCTGCTGGAATGCTTTAGCAAGACAGTGCCTGAGTCTCCCAAAAGCCCCAGCACAACTGTTTCCCCCAGCACTGGCACACCGGTGTGCCTTTGCTCAAGTGCCAAAATCAGCAATCAGATTGCGTACCTGAGTGAGAGGGTATGGGACTGGCTCAATCCTAGGCTCCCACTCGGAGCAGGGAGTGTTCACCCCATGAGGAGGATAAAGGACTGCAGAAGGGCTCAGGAATAGCAAGTCCTTCATCCTTCATCTGAGCCTACTTTCACTAAGGCAACAACAGAATCTTCCACTCTATGTAGATAACTACAGTCATATACTTACTATTTAAGTATACATAACTTCATACAGTTTGATACCACATAAGATGCAAATTACAAACATATACCACAAAGAAATCATGCCTAGTCTTTAGCACAGACTCAATCCACCCGTGCAAGCCCTGTGCTGCTAGGCAGTTTCTGCTGGACTGGAGAGGCAGCAGAGACATGCTTGGAGCTCAGAGAGCTACCAGCACAGACACCTGTCATCCAGAGGGCAACTGACAGCTGTTCCCATGTCCCGGCGGGACATGCTTGCCGAGAGCACATGCAAACAGAGCTTGTTGTCCAAGGGGCTGTTGTTTGGGTGTGGAAGGCACATAGCTGAGATTCTAAAGAAGGCTGCTCCAGGTCAGGGAGCTTAAGGTGGTGTGTGTGCACCACTGACTTTTCTCACTTTTCATGTTTAAAATATGAGTAGGCAATACATAGAGGAAGGAAGGAGCTGGGCTCAGAAACTGATTTCTGCAGCCTGCAGAGATACAGTGCTTCTTAAAAGCAAGCACAAATCAGCTTCCTTTCAAAAATCAATAAACTATTGGGAGAGGCATGGGGCAAAGTGAGGGAATGTCAGGACAGTTTATGCAAATAATCAGGACACATTCCTTAACTTTCGGTTACTGCATGTTACTTCCAAGGATTCTGGAAGTCCTTTTGCTAAACATCCCAGGGCACCAGGAGTAAAGTCTAGGCTCCATAAACATGTAAGAAAATTGTCCTCAATCCCTCCCATCTCTGCTAACTCATTTGATTTTGTGATTGCTGTTTCTCCATATGGCATGGGAGGCATGCTAGTATAGGTTTTGGTTTTTAAAACTTTGTGACTTTGTGTAAAGGCTAGAAGTATCTTGCTATTCAATCAGAAGCTTTGAACACTCTAGGCTTCATGGCAAGATTAGAATTCTCCCCCTCCAATTAGTACAGAATAGAGGTTTGCAGACTTTAAAGGACGTTTGAATTGCCCAGAGGGCCTATTAAATAACACACAGTTAATGGGTCCACCCCACTAGTTGTTTCTGCTGATCTGGGGTGTGGCCTGAGGTCTACACCGTGTAGTGCTGGTGCTGCTGTCCTGAACCTCACAGTGTGAGACCCGCTGGTGAGAAGACCCAAGGACCCAAGGAAGGGATCTGACTGCTAAGGACAGCAGGAGGCAAGTTGACCCAAGACTCACTTCCCAGAGCTGTTCTCTGCACAAGTTCTAGCCAAGTCCGTGCTGATACACTTCTTTCCTATTCATGCGACTCGGGCATGCAGATTTAGATTGATGGTAATTCTTGGTTGCTAAGCCACTCTCCCCTGTGGTCTATGCCTGACCCACTTGCTCATTCACTCATTTTTAATAACATCATAAACACCAACCCAAAGAGGAAAGTGGGGGCCTTGGAAACAACCCACAACGAATGTAACTTCATGGAGCTTATCTCATCCCTCTTAACTCCCAGCAGGGGAGTCAACCAGTCCATCATCACTGCCCTGCGTTTCTTTAATACAGTTTTATTAAATCTATAAACTGTGGTAGAGTCACACAGCAGAATAATGAATACCATTTGAAACAAATGAACTCAACCAACAAACACAACAATATAAAACTAAGTAAAAAATGTGGAGATAACCGACAGATGATAGCCGTTTATAACATTACCAACATAGACTTTTTAGGATGTCTTAAAATGGATAGAGAGTTTTAAATTTTTGTGTACTTTTGTAATCATCAAAGAAACACATTTTTACTGTAAAAAATGTCCATGAGTGAAGACATGTGCCCCATCAGTTTTCACAGGGGAGGATACAACCCCACGGTGTTCCTTTGTGTCACTGAAAAAGCATCTGTCCATTCCCCAAACGCATCCTTCAGCTTCCACAAAAGAGCTGAGAGGGAGAGCTCTGATCAGCGCAGGCAAGTCACACAAGAGCAAACAAAGTAGTAAACAAACACAAGAGGAAGTGTTAACTTTGCTCATCATCAGAGAATGCACAGGAAAGCATTTGGGGAGCGCTGTTCTATGATTGTAAAATTAGCAACCATGGAGAAAACAGAGGAGTGTGTGCTTGGGACTAAAACATTAAAGCTGACATGTGCGGACCAGGCTGACAGCAATGTGTAGTAAACAACAAATCTGAACAGCTGTCGGGTGAGGGGCAGCCACGAGCCAGGCGGAGACCCCCACTTGGAGGAACGTGCCCCGAAGAAGGAGCTCACTGGAAATAGATGGCTGTCAAGCAGATGGAGCAAAGCAAGGCCACCACTTAGCACCACCACAGAGCATGACCGGCGGGATAACGCGATCGGGGCAAATTACGATCTTGAAGAGAAAACAGCTATGTGATACTTCACACATGAGAAGTACAAACCACACACCACAGGCGTGTTACAGCCAAACCCATGGGCCCGGTGGCTGCCAGGTTTGCTGCAACAGTTACCAGAGCTTCTGTGCTGTAGGTGGGTCTGGGTGTTGTTTCCTTCAGCATTCCTGAGGAGCAGTATGGCAACTATGCTTTAGATCTTGAGAGGCACCTACCTTGAGAACTTTCACAGCTTTCCTCGTCGCTGTTGTCCTGACAGTTATTCTGCCCATCACAGATGAAGCTCTTGTCAATGCAGAGACCATTCTTGCAGTGGTAGCGGGCGGTGGAGCAAAGCAAGGGATTTGCTGCTGTGAAGGCAAAAACAGATTAGATCAGCAAGGACGCTGGAAGTCCATTTGGGAGCCCCCAGAACCTTCTCCAGCTGGGAGTACGTCCTACTCCAGCCATAAGTTCATGTTCTAAGAGGATGGCCAGGACAAGGCTTCTTCTGCCCTGTACTGGAAGCTCCTGCTCCTGAGCCACCATGTTGGTTGTCTTGTAACCATGACAACATAGCAGAGGACAATGCATCACCTACAGGCTGGCCAGGGGCTTGGGGGCAAATCTAAATCTGCTGGTAGGGAGAAGGAGTGTGAGAGAGGAATGGTTGGTGGCATAAGAGGCACATGAATAAAACCAAAGGCCCAAGAAGTGGCTATGAGTTTGGGGGGATGGTGTCATGGATCTCTGTATAAGGGAGTCAGCAGAGCAAAAAGTGGCCCAAGGGCATGTCAGGTCCTTCCGGCACTGTAATTCTTCATGCATCTTTAAGGTTCTCCCAAGGTAAGCTCAAGGTCTCAATTTTTTATTTGCAATCAAAAAAGCCTATTAACTCACCTGATTGCCCTGAGCAGACCCCTCGTGAGACTCCCTGTTCTGGGCACTTCCAGGAACCTCAAAGCATTGACTGATACGGCTCCTCCCCACCCAAGGGCAAAGGCAGTAACTGACATCCAACTTTATAGAAAGCCTGTATCTCAGCAGTGTGGCTTCCCTTAGTCCTGGTAGTGCAATTCAGGTGAGGCTCACTTGAGCTCTACTTTCTTTTTTAAAGATTTATTTATTTGTGCATACAGAACTGGGGTTCAGGCCAGAAATGCAGGGGCGGTGAGAGGATTCACCAGAGACAGAGTGGGGAGCAGAACAGGCAGATCAACAAAGTACACTGCTGAAGGGAGCAGTGGGCGGGTCAGGAGAGGTCTGCTGCACCATGTGGGTCACCTCCGGGGTGGGGATCGAACTCATGCTGAAGTGGCTTTAGCTTCTTAGTGCTGTGCTTTAACCCACTGCACCACCAGGAAGGGCCCTGAGCTCTACTTTCAACAAATGAAGCAGCAAGTAGAAATTACCACAACCCCAGCACAGCTAGCTAATAGCTGAGTAATTCTGGGCAGATGATTTTACCTCATGAGCCTTGGTTTCTTGATTTATGAACAGTACAAGCTACATGATTTCAGGGGTTTTGGCAAACTGAAAAGTTGGGGTGTCAAGGTGAACTACTCACAAATTATTTAAAACTCCAAGAAGACAAGTGTGGGACACAAAACCAAGATGGTGCCCTTGTCAACTAAGTACAGCCCTCTGTAACATAGGGCACAGGCTGGAGTCTGGTCCACACAGCAGGTGGCCTGCCATCAACTGCAGGAACTGTTTGAGCATTGAATGAGATGAGATGAGGAAGCAACAGAGCAGAGTCGGATGATGGCTCAGGCTCATAATTAGATGTGCTCTTCTAGTTATATCTGCCTCGGTCCCAAGGCTTCTTGAACTCCAAAGACTGCACGTAGCTTTTATTTAACTGTTCAATGCAGAAAGTCTGATTTGTAAGGTCAGACGAGGCAGAGGGTAGAAGGATCCAGTGCTCTTAATGCTGAAGATGATGGGCCAGCATAAAGTCAAACATGGAAATTTCCACTATTTGAAAGTCCACAGGTCAGGGAATGGCTCAGGCTGATAAAGCAAAACCAGAGCTGACTCCAGCCAGAACCAAGCAGGGTAATCGAAGACCACAAACAGCACCTGGTTTCTGTTCAAGGCAACCTCTAGACCCTTCAGCATCTCACCCAGCTCCCCCTGGACCCTAGAGACCACGTGTACACACCTGAAGGGTCAGCGACAATCAGCCAGCTCTAGCGCACAGCCTCGGAAGTAGACTAACTCCTCCAGGAAGGGGCAGCTGTGAGTTTCCACAAACACCCTAGTGGGGGGTGGGGAAGGCTGTGCTGAGCCAACCTTGCTGAGATGGAGGGCAACTAGGAAAGGTTTTCAACCCACAAAACTTTTTTTAAAAATAATATTATATTTTATTTTTTACATCATTTTGTACTTTTTTTTCCATCTCAATTGTAATTCCCATGGGTTTCCCATCACCAAGTCACCCATGTGCCATCAACATAGTCCAGTGCATTTCCCTCCCCCCACTGTTTTTGATCCCATTCCACACTCCACCCCCATAAAATGTCTCTGGTATATCGCTGTTCATTATCATTATTTTCTCGCCTGGTCCATTATACTCCTGCTATGAGCAAAACCATCTGGTATTTTTCTTTTTCTTTCTGGCTTATCTCACTAAGCACGATCTTTTCCAGCTCCATCCATGTTGCTGCAAAAGACATGTTTCTTTTTTTTTTGGTTGCTGAGTAATATTCCACTGTGTATGTACAACATCTTTTTAATCCAGTCATCTACTTTTAGGCGTTTGGGCTGCTTCCATGTCTTTCCAATTGTAAATAAAGCAGCAATAAACATGGGGTGCAGGTGTCTTTTTGAATCAGTGTTTTTGTATCTTTTGTCAACCCCACAAAACTTTTAAAATAATTTTTGAATAGTTGGCCTTGACACCCCAAATTTGCTCTCTCTCTCTCTCTCTCTCACTCACACACACACACTCCATTCGTGTGCAAATATGTGGATGTTCAGATATAGACCTCCAAAGCTGGATGAGATTGACCTTAAGACACAGCTCTGGTGAAGAATCCAGAATGACTGAAAACCATGTCACACTGATTTTGTTAATGCAGAGAAGCAAAAGGACTAGCAGCCAGAAGAGATAAAGAACTCTCACAACTCAGTAGGAAAAAAGATGAACAACTCAACAGGAAACCAGATAAAAGATGTGATCAGTAAGCGCCGTGACTGGAAAGAATGTTTACCATCTCCAGGAGGGAACCTCCACTTCAGCTGCATCACATTCTCCAAATGTTGTTTATGTAAGGTTTATTTTTATTTTTTAAAAGATTTATTTATTTATACATATAGAACTGGGGTACAGGCCAGAGGTGTAGGGGTGGTGGGAAGATTCACCAGAGACAAAGTAGGGAGCAGAACAGGCAGATCTATTGAAACACTGCTGAGGGGAGCAGCGGGTGGGTCAGGAGAGGTCTGTTGCACCATGTGGGTCATCTCTGGGGCTGTGGATCGATCTCGTACTGAAGTGGTTGTGGCTCCTTGCAGTGCTGTGCTTTTAATGATCCATTGGACCACCAGGGAGGGTCCTAGGTAAGGTTTTAAAACCCTACTGTCTGGCCCTCCCTGGTGGCGCAGCAGGTTAGAGCACAGCACTGAGAATCTAAAGCCGCTTCCGCATGAGTTCGATTCCTGCCTGCCCCAGAGATGACCACATGGCGTGGCAGACCTCTCCTGATCCGCCCGCTACTCCCCTCGGCAGTGTACTTCGTCAGTCAGCCTGTTCTGCTCCCCACTCTGTCTCTGGTGAAGCCTTTCACCGCCCCTGAGCCTCTGGCCTGCACCCCAGTTCTGTATGCACAAATAAATAAATCTTTAAAACCCTATTGTCAGCTACAATGTGGAAGAGAGATGTCTCACAGACTAGTGGAAGTGCGAATTGGTAGCTATACCTAGGATATCAATCCAGCACTAGCTCTAGAGATATTACTGTAGCCCAGTAATTTCACTCCAATTATGCACTCTGAGTGAAGCCTAAAAAAAACACAAATGTTTCCTGAAGTGCAGTTTATAAAGTAAAAATTTAGACATGCCATACTATTGGCCCATAGATGCAATGTGCTACATTATTATAACAGAATTCTACCACAAGAATCCACCATTTAGTCGTTGCCTCTACTCTAACTACTTGACTTTGCCATTATCATGTGAAACAGGCATACAAATTTCATAAATAAAACTTTATTGACACAAACAAGTAATGGACCAATTTTGGCCCAGGGACCAGTTTGCTCCCCATTCCCTGCTGTCCAGAGTGAAAAAAATGAGTGAGCCAGCATTGAAGAGGATAAATCTGACAAATACAAAATTAAGTGAGGAAACCAGGTTCTAGGAGCACAGGGAGAGTGGTGTACCTACCTTAATTAGTCAGGCAAAAGAATGCTACTTGTAGGAGACAAAAAGGTATACTTTTGCTAACCCTGTCATATGGCATATTTGAAAGTTGTCAAGAGAGCAAATAGTACAATTCTCATAATAAGAGAAAAGCGTTTTTTGATCATTTGTTTTTCTTTTTTTAGAAGGGAGGGTAGTAGTATCTGTATCTGAAGATGGGTGGTAATTTGTTCAGGTGATCATTTTGCAGTACATGTAAGTCAGATCAATACGCTATACACTTTAAACTTGTACAGCTGTGTGTGAATAAAACTAGAATATTCTCCACCTCCCCCAAAGAGCTCCCCACCACCACCACCCACTCCCCTCACCCCTGCCCCCCCCACAATAAAAACTTGGGTAGGAAGAAAAAATATCAATTTTTTCAGGACAGAGGATACCTCTGGAGAGAAAAGCAGAGAGGATCAAAGGTTACACTAATGATATTTGGTAACACTTTATTACTTAAAAAATCTAAAGCCAGTCAGGCAACGTGGCTATGTGATTTTTTTTTTTTTAAAGATAGAGTGCTGGAAACACAGGTGTTCATTTAATTTTACTTCTCCTTTTCGGTATGTTTGAAAGCTTCAATAAAAAATTTTAAGAGTTTGGCCTGGCAGAAGTGTTTCAGTGATCGCTCACTTTCCTTTTCCATTACACTTTCCCTCCACATTTTCCCTGACCTACAGACACCTGTTTTTAGTATCTTTCACTCAGGTGCCTACTGCTCAGAAGACACGGGCGCAGGGTGGCAAAGCACCACATTCCAGGTGCCTTCTTATCAACAGGCAGGATGCCAGAGGAACACGCTCATGCCCTTCCACTGCTTCCTCACAGAGGGGCCCGCAAGCCTTCACTGCCTGGGGGTCCACTGATTCTTTACTTGTGTCAATTCCCCCAGCTGTGTGTTCCAAGGACACAGTCAATTAGAAGGGAGAGGGGGGTGCTGCCTGCCAACCCCCAGACAAAC